ACACATCGCTGTTCAAAGACATAAGAGTCAAATCACCTGGTTATTTTGGAAATTGTGTATTTCGTCCACTAATTTCAATACTCAGAATTATTCCCCCAGATTATTTGCGTCAGACTTAGTCACCCCTTGAGACTGTGTGCGTGGATCCAAATAAATAAAATCCATTTATCCCAGTAAATTATTTGCTGAAACACGCTTGAACATATAACTGTCTGTTCTGTTTGACATAATCCATATTAAAAGGCTTGTTTTTCATTTAAATGTCAATATTAAAAACGCACAGTTGTTTCCTGCTTCGAGTTGCAAAGTTTGGCAGCTTTAAACCGCAGTTTATACGAAGCCAGTACTGAATTTACTTAAACTATCAACATTGTTCATTAACGTTCTTATTTGAATGACAATTTCTCGCTTTAAGCTTAGATGCGTCGATTCAATGTCTTCCCGAGCCTCGACAACCTGAACGTTGGGAAAGCGCCCAAAGGTATCCTAAAACTCAATGCAATCCAGGTGACGAATAAACGGCCTTGGCACTTCTCTCAACATCGGGATGAAACTGGTTAATGCGGGTCACAACATTTACGCCTTCCTCAAATACTTTTTATCGAGTGCTTAGTGAGTGGGTTGCAGCCTACGTCGATGCAAGTGACCGCCCTGCTTGCCGCGGCGTCAACTCTGTCTGTTTTTAATTTTTCGAGCATACCCCGTGAGTTATTTCGCTTTAAAGGGGCCTCTATCTTCGATGATCAGTCAAAAATGATAAACATTTGGTAAATTTATTTTGCAACCCTGTCGTGGACTTTATAATACACTTATAAATAAGCGGGAAGATCTAAGGTAAATCATTTTCACAAGACAGGTGTTCCGACATTCTAGATTAGACCGCGGTTTAACCCGCTGTAACTATTGCATGTCAATGGAAGCAAATAAGCAGCAACAAAAACAATTCCGGAAATATGGCCTACAATTAGTTGACTGAAAGATTGATACTGACGAATTCATTTATACTGATTTGGTGAGCTTCCAAAGTCTAGTATTGTACGATTTCGTAATGTTCTGAGAAATGTTATTGCCAAAACTTCATTCGGGATTTTGAATTACTCAATGTGGCAGGAAAATAATTGGAGTTTTTACACTTTTGAACCTAAATTGACACTTGATCCCGCTACTATCGATAACAAAATTTGTGCCAGCCGTCATTCTGACAACATCAATTCAAATATCCCTCGCAAAGGATGGCAAGTAAAATTTTGTCCTTCGTCTCAAGCTTAAGTAAAGCAGGGTGCAAAGTTGAAAGATTTATTCATGCCACTGACCTAAAAGCCGCAACACCCTTGAGGGATCTCCAGTGAAGGGTGTGTTTTCCAGCTAATGACGTAATGTTGGAACGCGCAACTGGAGACATGCCATAATATCAGGTATTTACAACAGTGGTAATTCAATTTAAGCCATAACTGTGTGAACGCTAAAGTACCAACGTGGGAGACTTGGAAGCATAACGAGTCAGATTTAACGGCGAAATCAAATCTGCACAAGAAGGTATTGATATGTAGATATTAGAGTATGCACGCGAGATTACCATTGAATGCATATTGAAGTTTCATACAAAAACAAAGCAGCTTTCAACTCAGCGCAATTATTCACTGAGACAATTTGCTTAATGGTCCTCAGTTCTTCTGGTCAGACTTTTTCGGCAAATCTTACAGACGTAGTCCAGAGGTGCAAGACTAAATGAAAGCGGATACACAGTGGAATCATGATGTCTAATCCAAAGAGTCATTATTCCAACTTTCGATAAAAATGCGCTTCTCAAAATTCCTTATTTTAACATTTACTGGAGCTCCTGCCTTTATTTTTTTACTAAATCTGTGACCTAAATGATTCAATAATTCCAGTTATAATGTTAAAACGACGCTGGAGTTGTTGGTGATTTTCCAAAATATTCAAAAACTTGTACATACGTTTGAATCCACAGTTAGTCAGCATTTATTGATGCTGCAAAGATTTTATTCATCATTTCAGTATCGAACACAGCGTCTGCGAGTATTATACAATGGATACTGACAAAAATACGCGACAAAGGCATCACCAACGTCAAATTTATCTTACTTTAGTTGGTAAGTCTGGAAGAAAATCATCATCCCCTTCCCAAATTCTACTGATGGTCGAAATCCTACTAACTTAAAAGTCACAAATAGCAAGATTTGTCCAAGTTGGTGCAGTGATTGTGAAGTAAATTTAAATGTCATGATTTTGTTTCTGTTAGAAAAGAAGCAGACGCTTTTTGCTCACTGCTAATCCATCAGCATTGTTTCATCCTCAATTGTACCACGAACACAAGTGTAGTACAAAAATAGTGAATGCTATTGGGCGGTGTTTGAACACCAACGCGTTGTTTAAACACTTTGACTCTTTGTGCTTTTGTGACCGTCGCACCGCAGCAATACTTTTCAATCCATCAACCTTAGGCACGTCCTAAATATGCGTAATACATGAATAATGAAAAAAAACTCGATCAAAACTATTCATTACTTTGTAGCATTTCGGTTCGCCAGTGTCACTAAATGTGGTGGGTTATTTATTCAACCTTACAATCATCTGAGTTAAAATACCGTAACAACTCGAGAACCATGACAAGACACGTGACAGTGAATGCGGTCTGTTTGTGACGTCACGCCATCAAAGCGTGTCTTTGTGTGCGATGATAAGGCGCGCGCAACGGGACCGACAACGCCAACCAATGAAAATAGGAGCGAGCCATGGAAATCAATAATTGTGCAAAGAAGCTTCACTCACGCGTGATTGCTGACAGTCCACTACATTCACCAGGCTTCCGAGTAGCCAAGTAAACATCTGTATAACTTACGACAAGTATAGCGGAACCCACATTAAGTACGGCTGCCCTCCTAAGGTCAAATTCTAATTTCTGAAACGGCGAACTTCTCAAAAAGACTGTTTTGTAGTCGCCGCACATGCGGTTTATCTAGATAGCGATCTCAAGGTTAATATTTCAACAATGGCCAGTAACTTAGCGACCTTAGTACAGCGGATGGCAGACTACAGGTTCACGCGTTTTGGAATGCCGGTACAGAGGTTTGGTTGACCAAATATTTTGCCACAGCTCACCGTTGCCCCTCCTTGTGGTTTGCATTCTTATAAACGATGACCAATTATTAAATTACATCAGCATGGCCAAGTGACAAAGTCAATTGCTAAGTTCGACATTTACAGTTTTGGATCACCATGGCGACCGGGTTGATAACCTTTTAATGGAAAAAATGGAGGACCTCGACCACTGCTACTGTTTTTGCACACAACACAGACCCATCCAATTCGCCAAAATGGTTAGAACGTGTTGGCTGCTGCGAGGATGAAGTCATAGTGACGCAAAATCTCTCCACAACGTTTCCATCTATGCCTCAGATCAGGACTGGATTCACATTAGAAAATCGCTCCAACGTTTTTCCCTGGTAATAAAGTATGCTGTTGGGACCTCCACGTGATCTTGCGAAAGTCACAGCGGAAATTTAGAAAGCTTGATAGAAGTACACACGCATGTTTCCTCAAAGTGCAATTTCATTTTGGCAACGAGGATTTTAAACGCGACAAAGTAGCCATTAGAAGTATTGGGAAACCAGAAAACTGCCTTTTGTGTATCCGCCAAATGGTGTATAAATAGAAAAGGTATGCTAGAGGAATTGAATTGACCTTGAGCCTTATTCATGAGCCGCATTTGGCGCATCATTGCATACTCTGACGGAGGAGACTGCCAGAAATTTAAAGCAGTTTACTTCATGAGCGTTAACACCGCCAATTCGAAGCGGTGACAATTTTAAAAAAGGATAAAATCACACAACACACAAATTTTGGCACGTGCTATGACAGTGGAACGGAGACGCTCTTCGCTTCACTAACTAATCCACCGTCTCTGGTAGCTTTTCAGGGCTTGGTTTACTGAAACCAGCTCTCTTTCGACAGTCCCCCGACACCAAGCATGGACACATGCTAACGTAGAAGTCGACACTGCAAGCTGGACAACATCTAACAACTGGATTCAAGTGGCGCACTGTGCAAGGGCCGTGGCAAGCCACCTACCTTACCTACAAGAAGCTAAGAGAAACTCTTCTGGACTGAAACCAGCGGAGTTACTACTTCACTAATATGATAAATGACCGGATTCAGCAATGGTGCTGAACGCACGTTGCGGAACACGTCCACCGGACCCACTCTCGTGCTTCCTCGGTGCAGGAAGTGTCGGATCGGAAGATCGGATTTTGCCGTTACAAATTCTTAAAGAAATCACATGGGTTCAGCCAGGTCTCGTGCAGTGACCCTGCCCAAATGACGAATGTTTGTTTGTCATCCTGATCGTGAATATAAACAATCAGCGTGTTGCCTAGCTTTGAGGGCCCCGGTATGTTGTCTTGAACCACGCCGGGACCATTGCGCCAATCTACGCCGAATACGTCACCCTGTGTTCCCGAGAAAATAAAGAAGACCGGAGTGGAGAAGGCACAGCCGTTTACTAGACAGTTCAACCAAGTTGTGTCATGTACAGTTACGGTTGAGTGGACATGTACAAAAATAGACACAGGTGTCTGTGAGGTCAAATGACTAAGGGTGGTGGTGGTGGTGGTGGGACATGCAGGGGGGTTAGTGGACCGGCGGCCTCGCGCGCCTGACGGGCAGGTCTTGAAAGGGGGGACGTGTGCTGGAATCTGCGAGGACTGGGTTGTTGAACGTGAATCAACACGATTCACTAGACTAGTAAGAGCAGAATCATTGGACACGTAGATGCTAGTAAAAATACTTGGCTTGCAAATCGGCAGACATCACCACTTCACCACCACCAGACTGTCACTTGGGCAATAAAAAGACCTCTGTTAGAAAATATCGACCTACGACACAAAGCTTGAAAGTCACGACGATGTCAGTGCATGAACAAGAAGAAGAGAAACAACTTGGCAACATTTTTGTCACACAAATATACACAAATGTGGAAGTTAGCTTTGCGGTCGGTCTATCGTCAGGATGTTGGATATTTCCTTTGCATGATGGTTATCAGGGTCGTACTGCAAATTCTCCATCAGCAGTTCTTTAAGCGTTACCAGCAGGTCCGGCCATCCCAGGGCCAAGGCAGCGGCCTTCAAACGAGTCAGCTCCTATAATAGCAATATTTCATTACTCAATAACAAAATTGATTAGTTGGCAGAACCGACCGCTGCATGTGGATATAGTTCCCATGAAACTTTTTCATTTAAAACAAGTTTTACCGCAAGGAAAAAGGGATAGGATGATGTAACTAGCTAACGAAAGACATAAAGTTAATTTAACTATTGCTCAAGTGGTCAGTAATTTCATCTGAAGTTGTGGGATGACCCTAAACAGAGATTTAAGACGGTGAGTAGTGAACCGGTCGATGCAAGCATAGATCATTCAGCGAGCAGCATCAATAGACCCTAATCCTCGGGGTATTCGGAAATCCGAGTGACGAGAAGGTTAATGGCTGGGGTTAAACGGTCTAAGGGAAATCGGTTCAGAGCAAAACCTGATTCACAATGTCCGAGAGTAAATTAGCTTTGAATTCAACGCAAGCTTGATGACGGGCACTTGAAACAAATAAGGCACTTAGGACCGAACCTTAAAAAAGAGGTCTGATTTTTCCGGCAACCTCTTCGAGAGTCTAAGAATTTTTCCGATGTCGTTCGTCGGGCCGTTTGGAGCATGGACCCAATCAACGTATTGAAAGTCTGAGTTATCTAAAATGGATTAAATACAGCTACTGAACACAGCAGAAGTAGGGGGTTTGCAAAGAAACACGGTCATACCTGAGGGTTTATAACTCAAATTTTCGGCTTCACGGACGGGAAAAGGGGTTATGTACTCGGCCGAATTAAATAGGACTGGACCTGCGAAATCTGAGACCGGGGCCAGGAAATCGAACTGTCCAAGCCAAGGCAACCCCTTGCAATCTAAAAAAATGCTCGCAATGAAATTTATGAACACACGGCACACAAAACCAGTCACTGTAAGTCAGACGCAGTAAAGGTATAGCTTGGATTACAAAATAGGGCAAGCGAAACAGGCGATATCAATCAACGAAAATGGAGGAGAAGGTTGTGAATATGAGACAATGACCAAACACATCAGGTAAACAACTGACAGCGTGGCAACAGTTGACCTTAAACGCACATTTAAGTACCGCCACCTTGCAATCCATCAACGCAGACAAACGATAAAATAGATAAAGAAGTAGCAGCAATTAAAGCTCGCCTCTTAACTTCCCTACCTTCAGGAAAAAGGGACAGCATAAGACAATCGCGTTTCGAGCTGAATCGACTGATAAACCCATGCGTGAGAAAAACGCGTCCATCAGGATACTTGATGTGTTGAGGGTTTTCGTCAAGAATTTTGAAAACCGAAGGTTTTTTGGTCCGAGGCTGCAAATACACGTTTACCATGCCAACAGTTGTAGTTGCACTAAGAGCTGCCAAGATGGTACACAGCAGGCCTTCGGTCTGCAGTTCAGCATGGCCTAAATGACGACAGATGCAATGATAACTTTCTTTATTCAAAAGTATTTGAGTGTTTATGAGGCTTCCAAACTACCTTCTAGCTCCACCAGCGTATGTCGACTCGAAATGGGCGGGTGGCTTATATCCGTGACATTAAGGAATCCAAAAACCTCAACAAAAAGTTGCGACAGGGATGTTCCAGGGTCGTTTAGATTTTTTAGACACAGAGGAGGGGTTAGAGAAACGACAGAGCACAGGTGGCCGCACGCCACAAACGCCGGTCCCGTAAAATCACAACGTTGTGTTTGCAACAATGCTGCTGTTAGTGCGTCAGACATATTTACATCTGCGTTCTTCGGCTCTTTAATGCATGACGAGCCACTTATAACAAGGAAATCACGGAAGGTTTGGCGCAAACCGCTCACTTCTGGCGAAATCTACAACATGCACTAGACTTTAGGTTAACAATTCGTACTTCTGAGTCGGAAAGGCTCACGATAATGCACGTAATTGAATTAAACGACGCAGCAATGGATTCAGTGGTAGAAGTAGCGTTTTGTGGTGTGTAATAATCATCGCAGCCACCATCGGTTATAATAACAACCTGGACTAAAAGTAAGGCATCAGAATCTCACTCGAAAGTGACCGCCGACGTTAAGCTTTCTCTGTTGGACCTTGGTAGCGGTCGGCAAAACATCCGAAACACACTCGTGAAGAAAACGTTTGGGTCCTGGTTCGGGGTAAGCATCAACTGTTTTCTCCAAATACGCTAAGTCCGATGAGAATTCCGAGCAAAGGTAAGGGTCAGTGCTTGATGGAGTGAGCTAAAATAAAACTTCGAACAAAAATCCCTACAACGCACACAGATTCGCTCGGGTTTTTTTCAAGTAGTTTTTTACAAAATACCTTTGTCGTGTCTTGGGCATGAGCAAAAAAGCTCCGGTTGCCATCATTAGACGGGCGTAACATACGAAAAGACCAGTCAATTGATATCATCCATGGCATGATGGAAAAAATTGCGGCGTAAACTCAAACCTCACTAAGTATTTGTGATGCGGTGTGACTGTGGTGTTGTGGTGTGACGTCGGATTAGGGCGCAGACATGTTGGGCCACCTGGCATCAGCCAATCCCGTGTCTCTCTGCGATCCAATGGCATGCGGGAAAGGAAGGCAGCCAACCAGAGAAGGACATGGATGAGAAGCAGAATATAATGAGCGGCGTGGCCAGCGTGGTGGACTCGGATGGAAGGCGCGTGGCGCGTGGCTCTGGCTTGTGATTGGTCAATAAAACCTGTTCTGTTGTACCGGTCTTTTACCTATTAGGGCTCGGGTATTCTACAGTGGCGTCGGATCAGGGCGCAGACATATTGGACCACCTGGCCGCAGCCAATCCTGTGTCTCTCTGTGTTCCAATGGCATGCGAGGAAGATAAGCAGCCAACCAAAGAAGGGCACGACTGATGTGCAGTATATAATGAGCGGCGTGGCCAGCGTGGTGGACTCGGATGGAAGGCGCCTGACGTGTGGCTCCGGCTGTTGATTGGTCAATAAAGCCTGTTCTGTTGTACCAGTCTTCTTTCTATTAGGGCTCGGATATTCTACATGGCGACGGATCAGGGCGCAGACGTATTGGACCACCTTGCCTCAGCCAACCAGAGAAGGATGCTAATGAGCTGCGTGGCCAGCTTGGTGGACTCGGATGGAAGACGCCTGACGTGTGTGCATCGTTGATTAGGTGCTTTGGGAACTCGCCTGACAGTTGTTTGGTACCTACAAATGTCTAAGTAAAAAAATGTATTATTTAACGTATTTGTGACAGAGCAAGGAATCAAGCAAGAAGCTGAGGAAAGATTTTCTCTTGAGACAAGGCAATTTATTGGTGACAGAGGGCCAACCAAGTTTAGATAACGTTATGACCCAAGGCAACAGCCGGTCACTGGCCAACGAAGAATATCAACAGTCAGCAGGAACCAAAACTGCATGAGAAGCATGTATATATTCCTCGGCAAAGCCAACATGGCAGGCTCACATGGACACCGCTGACCGACTTTTCTGGCTACCAATATGTGATGGTAGGCTTGATCTATTTTTTATGCATTTTTCGAATTAACTCTTGTCTATTAAACAAAATGATCTTTACGTGTGGCTACATTGGAATTAGGGCAAATATAGAACCCCTACACCAAAAATCAGAATATGGTCTTGAGCTCAGCTAGCGTCTATTTGCGGAGCTTTTCCATAATAATGAAAAATAATAGATTTTTGCCTCTAAGGTATATGTACAAAATCACATTTTAATCAAGTCTGCATGCATGATCGAAGACATTTGCTGTCGGAATGTTCAGGCTTGAGGAATATTATCATGCCTCTTTGTCAGTATTCTTAATGCCAAGTTAAGCAAACAGATATACCAGTTATGATAAAAGGCAGTATTCAGTTGGTGCTGAAAATCTTCTGGGCAAATACGCAACCTTTGACAAACGTTATCGGTTCGTTTTAAACAAATTATTTGGCAAGCTGGCTGCGACTTGTATTTTTCAGTGTAATCTATCGCATTTTGAATGCTAGAGCGATTTTTTGCCAATAAGAGGGGGCCAAATGGAAAATTAGATAGTAGCCTGGCTTTGAGATCGTGCTTAGGCCTGTTGAGGAATTTTTAGATTTAGCTATTGAATTTCAGCAACACGGCACATTTCGCCGTCTACGTTGGAACTGAATGCACTTCAGAAGGAGCAGCATACATTTGACCAGTTGACTAGGACGCAGATCCTAGTAATAAGTTTAATGATGCTCGTGGATATTTCGTAAGGTGACCAAAGTTAGCTGCTGATTGTCTTGATCGACATGCTGATCAAACGCAACAGTTTACTTGCCTTGGATACAAAAAAGTGACAGCTTAAAAAATCTAGTACTTTATGATATGAAACTTGGCATTGAAGGCATTTCGTTTCAAACATGTTGCCATTTTGTTATAAGCGATATTCAGTGCACCATATATAACATTTATCATGCTATCTTCGCATGACCATTTGTTGCACAATACTGGTTTTGTTTGAACACTATTAAAGTCCTTAATATTGACAAGCGACCCTATTCAATGCATTTATTTACTGCTCAGAAGAACAGCAATATAAAATTTACTGTACTGGATTGTTTTTGCCATACTTCGATTCCACCACATATATCCATAATTTCAAATGCAGGTGACATTTGTACTACGTATATTTTTAACTATTGACATAACCAAGAACTATTTGTAACATGTAATTTGCTATTATTTCATCTGTTGTTTAATTCAAGTGTTTCATGAGCGCCGTCTACAATCTGGATAGTGGTGCTCGTTATTAACTCCTCGGCTATAAAAAATGAACTTCTCATTCTAATGGAAACCGATTGACGAATTCCTGGAAGTCGATCTGAAAAAAAGCGCTCTGAAAAGGCCTTAATAAGAAGCTTAAGCTGTTTCTGTTATTTTTTTTGCATCGCTGTGCTCTTTTTCGACATTGGATATTACTTCACTGCAAGTCAACTGGTGGAATCGTAAAAGAAAATGTTTCAAATTAAGGCATGTCAAGACTACCAAAAGACTATCCCCTGACTCCGTTAACTTTCGGACATTAGTCCTTCATAATCCCCTTAAATGCTGATATTTGCCCCCCCTTATTTTAGCAAATACACCAATTAGCGTTGTGGGCCCCAGCATGTGGTCTTGAACCACGCCGGGGCCACGGAATTAACGCTGGCCTGATTACGCTTCCCTGATACCCGCGATGAAGAAAAAGACCGACAAGGACGTGGACACAACCGGTTACTTCAGAGCTCAACCACGCTGGTGTCGTTGTGTCGTGTGTGGGGTTTGCGCGTGTGTATTTATACCTCGGATGTGTGAGTCATACATGCGTTGCCATCGAGACCTAGGTGTGGGGATAATCCAAGATAAATATCCGTGTGAATGAGGGGAGAGTTGAGTATCCGAGCGGCCGGCGACATGCTGCGAAAAGGGGAACCCTGAGGTGTGAATAAACACGAATTACAACACTAGTATTGATTTAATCCTGAATCTTGCTGTGTGCCACTTGCAAAGATAGGTTGTTTGAATCTAGATGTAACCTCTGAAATCCCAACAGGGAGAGTGTGTTGTGTCTCAATAAATATTTGAACCCAGTTCTCCATTACCGTGTTAGAGGGCGCAGGTTTTTGACAAACGAAAGAGGCCTGCGGGTATTAAGTTGCACATATTGCCAAAGTGTTAGATTGGCATGAAAACAGAGTCGCCTCACGAGAAGTAGCTTTTATATTAAATAGCCATGATTGAGAAAAATTCAACCTTGAACATAATCCTTGTCAAAATAAGTATTAATTAGGGAATTCAATCTACCAAGCCATCATAACTGGCGGAAGTTTTTTGAACACAAACCAAAATATCCTAAGCACAAGTCGACATTTCTTCTCCATTAAACTAAGAAACAAAGCCTATGGCCACAAAACCTTGTGTCTTTTTGAGTTCTTTTAAAAGTCCTTTTTTCTACGCTAAAACATTCGATGGAAGTGATTTTTTTATTTCATGCACTTTACGAGGGAAATCCAAATGGTTGACATTTCACAAAACATTTATGACAGTTGCGTCACTTGGAGTATTGTAAGTGAAACATGGCATTTCCTGAACTAGCTTTACCAAAGTTTTTTGCAAATAAAAGTATGGCAAAGGTTTTGACACAATTGCTTAATACCTAACTGAAATTCAGACGTCTCTAGTTTTCTAATATAACTCTCAAATGTCAATTTTTCCATTTTAGTAGGAGGAAACATAGTAGGGAAATTGTGTACGTAAGAAATTGTTAGGTGGCCAAATTGGCCACAGAACACTTGTTACACTCTTTTCGTAACCTCGCACCAAACACGCGGTACTTGATAGATACAGTGCTTTCCAAAGTATATAAAATATCGGACTACAGCGGATATTACGGCTTTGAGAGAGGAATGCCACAATTCCTCATTTTTTGCGCCCTAATTGTCCTATTCTACTCCGGTATGACGTTACTGGTTTTATATCTCTAGGTTCAGAATTCGTTTTATAAATTTGAAGCTTAAATTATTTCTGAGACAAGCTATCCGATCTCTGGTTAGAACGCAGTCGAAAAGAAAGTGCCCATAGTAGTATTTTCGTAAAATGATGCATTAAAATTGCACGCCTTTGACTTCAGACACGTAGGTATGTTGTGAAAAGGTCCACGAATCAAAAAAGGTTGCTCATATTCAGGTTTCGTGAAGGATTAACTTGCGATTGCTTATACCACAAATGTGCCATTTTAGATGCAACAGCAGCATGCTTTTCAAATAAATGCCAGGAATATTACGCTGTTTGCTTAATGGCTGACGACGAGTGTTGTGAAAATCTCGATTGCCAAAATTGGACGGGTGACCGATATGGTCGATGCTTGGAGCCCGAGGAATTTTAAAGAAACTGTCTAAACACAATTTCGTAATTTCTTTTGTTAGATAATGAGGTACTATGTTTTTTTTCATCTCATCGATTTATTTCACACTGCCGTCTTCTTTTCGTTAATGTCTTTAGTGATGAAAACGTTTGCGGCTTTATTTTTTGCTCATTTACGTTTAATCAGAATCATCCCCACGTGATATTTTTAAAATGGCCGCAGTTGTTTGATTGCCAATGTTGTCCAACTTTATATGCTGCAAAAGGTGCTTTTTAACCTACTTTTCACATCTGGACTGAAGTTGGCATGTTAAAGAATTGCTTCATAGACTTGGATGCCTAAATTTGTTACTATTTTGTACCCCAGTGATTATCAATCGTTCACAGGCGTTTACTCTTTTGTTCCTTACTTGACTACTCAGCGTGCAAATGCTCAATTTCCCACTTTTCGGATCGCCAACCCTTATCTAGCGTCACAATTGTGAGTATATTCAACTAGTTTGCAGCCTAATGGTTATTATAATATGTGGTAG